CTTTAAAATTCTACCCTTCCTGTGGCAAAGACTGGATTTTGCCAAAATTTGGTCCGAAGCATTTTTGGATTAAGAGAAATAACTTTGTATAAACGATAGGTATCAACCCTCTGTTACAGGAAAGACAGGTCTCAATAGGGGGAATAGAGCAAATTCTTTAGAATCCTATTTCTCCTGTAGGACTGATTGGATTTTGTCCAGATTTGGTCTAAAGTATTCTGTAATCAGTTCTGCATAAACAGTGTATCCAGGCCGCATCAATGGTAGGACGGGGTCCAATTGAATTAAAAATTCTTCCTCCATACAAGGATATTGTCCTAGTTTGACCACAAGACTGGGACCATATAAGGAAATTATTTCAGTAATTATTTGTTGTATTTGGAATTCTTTGGTAAATGGTTGAAAACCTAAATTAGCTAGGTGAGCAATACAGGCTCCTTGCTTTTTTTCAAAATGTATTTTGCAGGTCCACTATACTGAATTTTGATGCATACATTTACTGGGTATACATATTGAATGTGAGGTTCACCATGGAATGTAAAATGATTTAATGAATGGATTGATCACTTTTTAATCACCTGATGTTAGAATATATTGAATTACATATATAATATATATTTTATGTTTTTTACAAAAAAATTCTATTCCGTGGGCACATGATTTTAATGATTTATTACATATCTTATACTTGAAACAAATTATACCAATTTATCAAAATGTTTGACTGTTTAATAATTCATGGATATATATGAATTGGTGGATAATGCATGCTATGAACTAGATTGAATATAACAGGTTTCATTGTAAAGTGAGGGATGTTGAATTTGAAATGTAACTCTTGATCTCTGATGCAATTTGAGTCAGGATTACCAACATATAATGTACCATTGAGAAAAATATACGAAGAAAAATATTTATATTTACATGTTTTTTTTTCCATCAAATGCAAATTGCTTTAATATATTTATTCACAAGTTGTTGTCAAAATCATGGTTACATGTGAGTTGTATAATATTATTTCAGTGGTGGCTTTTGTCTGAACTTAATTCCTTTTGCCCTATACAAGTGCTTGAGTTGTCCATTGAAATAAATTGTATAGTTATTATGAGAGTCAATCGCACCGTTTATGACACGGCTAATGGCATTTTATAAAAGCACTGGCATAAACCTGAATTCTTCTACTTAATACCATTGTGTCCAACCACTTATAATGCCTTTGCATTCAAAGTCTAATTCGGTCAGCTTATCATTATTAATGGTTTTCAGTTCGTAATTAATGATATTTCTTTATTATTGATTTTTTTTTTATCTCATATTTGAAAATTCAAGTTTTGAAATATATATTCAGTTTAACAATGAATATATTTTGAATATGAGATGAAGAAATAAACAAGTTTGAAAAGTTTATTTGTAAGCTGACAGTCCATAGAGTTATGTCCCTTTTAAAAACCAGAGGATATAGGAGGGTGCTCCCTTAGAATATTTAAGAATGACCATTCTAATCTTGTTGTTTAAAAAACGATCTCTGGGCAGTTGCCAAGCTGAAATGGTGCATTGTAATAAAGCCTTCATATATATACACATTGTAAACCCGATGTTATTTTAACTTCAGGCAAATCTTTAAAGAAAAAAAAAATTAATGAAGTACTTGTTTATATTAATAGTTTAAAAAAAATTTTTTCTTATAATTTCCATCTTTTATATTTTTCTTATCTCTTCAGAATAACACAAGAATTTCCTTAACTGATGGTAAACTTTGACAAATTTACCTGGTAACTTGTATGTAAAAAATCTGGTTAAATTGCTGTTACCGTTATAAAAATTGGTAGAAAGTTCCGCATAAGTTATTTTTTCATTTTTTTTTTTTTTTTTGCATATAAAGTGACGTATGAATCAGGTGTATATCCTTGTTGTTAACTTGAGAGAACATTTTTATATATGTCTAAAAGCACATGCCATTGATATACATTTTACTGGTATTTAAAACCACTAATTGCAAATCAAAATTGGTTAATAGAGTAACCTTGATTATAAGATAATAAATGTATGTACTAATCAAGAACATGTATTGAAGTCAATTAAGCCTTTTCTACCACATCATATACCTGTTGTAGGCAGTTTTTTTATTTATCCATATAGTCCGATAAAAAAAATGGCTGATGGCAGACCACAAGCTCTTAAAAAACATAAATTTTTCTTGTCTCTTTTTTTTCTCAAGTTCTTGGATAAAACTAAAATAAATGATGTAAATTGAAAATGTTTTATACAAGTTCATTGTAAAGACTTTATGTGAATTACTTCCTTCTCCATAATGCAGTAGAAAAACAGATAAAAAAAGATTTTTGACATATTTTTTCTTATGTTTCAATCTGACATTGTTGACAATTATTAAGACAGTATAGAATGTTATCACAAAGAATTATAATATGTTCACTCACATATCTCCATAGCAACTCTTTATTTAGCCGGGGACCTTGTCAGGGAGATATGGGGATCAAGGGCAGATAAAGGGGTTTGGAGTAGATTAGAGTTCTCAAGATGTCTCGAGAGTATGAGGTTTTCCATATTTGGGGGTATTGGGGAGATAACCAGGGTTTTTGGCAGATTTGAGGGTCTTGGAAAGATTTCGGAATCTCCGGCAGATTTAGAGGTCTTGGGGAGATTGAAAGGGAGTCTTGGGCACAAAAAAAGTTGCTGATATATTTGTATTGATAAATGTCATCAGATAGAGAAGTTTTAAAGAGTAACAGGTCTCGGAAATATTTATAGAGTATCCTTGACAGGTGTACTTCCACCTTTGTCTTTGCTGTGACATTAATGGGTACTGTGTAGCAGTTCAGAGACATTGTTATAACGGTATATCGGTGAAGTGCTCCAAGGTACCACAGGAAACATCAGAGTACTTACTCAAGTGACACTTTCGAAGAATTACAGATTTTTATTAATCTTTCTTAACTGATTGAATCATTACAGATTTTTGTAGCCCATGATCTGAGGCAGTAGGACAAGGAGATCTGGATGATTCTTTCTTCAGATTTCATTGTTTAGATTTATTGCTTCACTGATGTGTCAGGTGGTCAATATTAGTCCAATAGTGGTCACATTCATTTTTGACTTAAATTGAACTACTGCATACTTTTAAAGTGACCACCTTAAATGTTGTTTAGGGCTCCTGTGTTTGAATCACCCATTTCCTTTTACATCTATATATCACCTCTAATCTTCCTTCAGGCCTTCTTTTCTATCTATCAATAAATTCTTTCACTGAAGAACTGAAATATTCTCAAATTTCATAGAATTAAGAGCAAATACACTGTAGACGGGAAAAAAAGAGAAAAGAAAAGAAAGGATTGTACTTATAACAAATAAAGATGTACAATGATGAGTACAAAGGTTTCTTCTGGGATCTCTGAATGTGTGTAAAAAATGCTCCCTGAAGGTAAAGTTACATTATCAAATTAACAACTTCATTTTGGTGATGCAACAATTTTCATGTACGGGTAGACAAGAGTCAAATAATCGTATTTTTCATTTGTCGCCATTACAATAGGAAAAACGTTTCAATTTTTTTTGTCGTTTGAGTACAAGTAACACAAAAGAGCTCCATTCATATTATTAATACTGATGTTGATTTTTCAAATGTGCAGACTTGTAGCCTTGGTGGAATATGGAAGCAGCTATGTTGACAGTACACAGAATAAATCCACCAATCAGAATTCTGTCCACTGGAATAATTTTATTAATTCATTAATTGATTATATCCCATTTTCAATACAATTATTGCCTCATCCTTTGGTTTATCATTATTTTCTTTTTAATCAAAATATAATGAAAACTCTCCTGATGCAATGAATGTTTTGAATGGATAATGCTCTACTCAGTAACATAGATTTGGTTTTACGTTTATGTCATTTAGAGGTTGCACTTCACAAAATTTGGTGTTGTCATTTTAATGTTGTTCAATATTCCTGTCACATAGCTAATTTCAGAAATGCCACCGTGATGTCGGGGGCGATCTATGTCGATTACATTAGTGTGTATGAGACATGTACCAAGTAGGAAATGATGAAATTAAAGTATGGAACGAAAGGTGGTATATTGTCAATGATAAAGTACTGAAATGCAATATCATTGGTGATGCACCTTGTTTGTAAGACTTCCTTAATTAGCATTGATTGGGGTTGCAGAACTAATTCTTTCTGTAGGATTTACCTGTATTTAAATATTCAAAGGACAATTACCATGATTCATTTTTCTGATACTTGAACTAGAGAACAATGGGAAATTTGATAATATATACTACATCCTTACTGTGTTTTTATTTTTTGTATCCAAAAACATATTGTAATATTGATAAATATTTGATCAATGATCCAGATGTGATAACATATGTATTATAAGTGAAATTATCACATTTTGAAAAAATGTACCGCTAACTGTGGTATCGCTATGGTGTAAGTGTAGTAAGGGATGTTGCCATAGCGGTTTGTGACATCATCAAAAACATTGATATTTCCTTTGAATATTTACAGTTCAAAGAGCCATTTGGATGAGATAGAATACTAAAGAAAAGTTGTTATCTAGAATTCATTAATTGTCGATCATATGTACATCAGGCAATATGCCCGACACTTGTGTTGAAGTCGTTTCAGTTGTCATGGAAATTAAAAAGGAAGCCATATTTTCAAACATATGCTGTTAAAAATATACTGAAGGACTACAATTAATCTGAGAAGGATCCCATTTATAAAATAGCAGATCCAGAGGTCCATACTTGGTAATATGCTTACCAATACCGTACTTCTGTTTGATACATTTTCAGCAAATTATTTTCCTGTTTCTGTAGTAAGTCAATTCCCTGACTTTGAGTTAGAAACCAAAATACATTATATTTTATAAGACTTCATACCCAATATGTGACACATGCCCAGGGCTGTCTTACCTCTCAGCTAATCTTGTTTTTATTCTATTCACTCATTAAATTTTGTGTTCTTTTTCAGCTATCAAAACATCCCATCTTACAAAACACCTCGTAAAGGACAAAGACAGAGTAGAAATAATGTAAGTATGATTTTAACAACATTCTTTTCATTGATTCAACATTGGATAGGGATTATTTCTTATTCCATATTTGTCTTTTCATTTTCCTGTGTGAGATATCTTTCCAATGTTCTAGTGAAAAGATAGATTACAATGTACATTAATTTATTTACAAGATATCCTAAGTCACAAAATGGTCACATCATCACTTTAGGTAGCCTGGTTTTATTATCTATACAACCAAGATTTTAAGATTCAGACCATGGGCTAAAATCTTTAAAGTTTAGAACTGGGCAAAACTTCATACCTAAATGAAAAGATTTAAACCACAGATTGAGGTGTCTCTAGACTGTATATGAACATCTTTCAGATGTGAAATATTCAGAAACAGGGAATTCTTTAGTCAAAACATTTAAATTGTATGACACCACATCAACAATGTGATCACATCACATTTCTGTCAGTAAAGAAAAAGTTCAACACCACAATACATGTAAACGTTGTCTGAGAAAAAGAAACATTCACAGCCTTGTGTATGAGGGAATCTCAACACAGGGAGAAAGATTATTTAGTATCCAACACCCTTTTGCTTGGTAGACCAGCTATACATATTAATTTCAGCATTATTGAAGAGAATTTAAGTTGCAGTGCATAGTGTTGGCTGAGATCTCTTAGCCTATGTAGTGGAATTATATCAATCAAAGTTTCTACATCAGTGTTTAAATCATTGTCTGTCCAACCAACACACACCCATCCTCCTGACATGTAAACCACAAATATGTTTTTAAGTTAGACTGTTTCTTAAGGACCTGTTATATACAAATCTGACAGACTATTGTCTTACCGTCTTATATCTTAGATAAGAGATTTATGATGTCTATTTAACAAAGATGGAGAGACAGTTGACATGTGTCTTACAGGTGTCTTACTTGTGTGTAAGTTGTATCGTAATATGGATATGAAAGTGTCTTCTTTGGTTACAGAAAATATGGTTTATCATAATGTCCCGTCATGGTCACCTTATAGTCTGACACAATGTCCCATTATGTTCACCTTATTATAGTCTGGTCACAATGTCCCATCATGTTCACCTTATTATAGTCTGACACAATGTCCCAACATGTTCACCTTATTATAGTCTGATCACAATGTCCCGTCATGTTCACCTTATTGTAGTCTGATCATGATGTCCCATCATGTTCATCTTATTATAGTCTAATCACAATGTCCCGTCATGTTCACCTTATTATAGTCTGATCACAGTGTCCCGTCATGTTCAACTTATTATAGTCTGATCACAATGTCCCGTCATGTTCAACTTATTATAGTCTGATCACAATGTCCCGTCATGTTCACCTTATTGTAGTCTGATCATGATGTCCCATCATGTTCATCTTATTATAGTCTGATCACAATGTCCCGTCATGTTCACCTTATTATAGTCTGATCACAGTGTCCCGTCATGTTCAACTTATTATAGTCTGATCACAATGTCCCAACATGTTCACCTTATTGTAGTCTGATCACAGTGTCCCGTCATGTTCAACTTATTATAGTCTTATCACAATGTCCCATCATGTTCACCTTATTATAGTCTGATCACAATGTCCCATCATGTTCATCTTATTATAGTGTGATCATGATGTCCCATCATGTTCACCTTATTATAGTCTGATCACAATGTCCCATCATGTTCATCTTATTATAGTCTGATCACAATGTCCCGTCATGTTCATCTTATTATAGTCTGATCACAATGTCCCGTCATGTTCACCTTATTATAGTCTGATGTCCCGTCATGTTCACCTTATTATAGTCTGATCACAATGTCCCATCATGTTCATCTTATTATAGTCTGATCATGATGTCCCATCATGTTCACCTTATTATAGTCTGATCATGATGTCCCATCATGTTCACCTTATTATAGTCTGATCACAGTGTCCCGTCATGTTGATCTGATCACAATGTCCTATCATGTTAACCTTATTATAGTCTGATCATGATCATCACCTTATTATAGTGTGATCATGATGTCCGTCATGTTGATCTGATCATGTTCACCTTATTATAGTCTGATCATGATGTCCCATCATGTTCACCTTATTATAGTCTGATCACAATGTCCCATCATGTTCACCTTATTATAGTCTGATCACAATGTCCCATCATGTTCATCTTATTATAGTCTGATCATGATGTCCCATCATGTTCACCTTATTATAGTCTGATCACAATGTCCCATCATGTTCACCTTATTATAGTCTGATCACAATGTCCCATCATGTTCATCTTATTATAGTCTGGTCACGATGTCCCGTCATATTCACCTTATTATAGTCTGATCACAATGTCCCGTCATGTTCATCTCTCCTGATCATATTGATTACAAGTGAGGTGGTATTTATATAAAGGAAGTATAGGTAGACCTATCACACTAGGAGAGTGGTTACAAGATGTCTGATTCCAGGCCAGTATTGTACTGTATAAACCAAATACTGGGTATACCAATGAATTGTAATATTTTAGGTTAAGTATAAGGTGACAAGTCATTCTGTTAGACGATTCTTATTTAATCAGAAATGATGACGAAAGTGTCTTACAGATAAAATATATAGTATTTCATATTGTTTTACATTAAGTTAAAACTCTTGCATGCTCGATCACTTAAAATGTTTCTACCTTTCTGGTGTTGTATGTGTTCACTCAAGTGGAACAGTATTGTAATTGCTGTATAAGTAGTACTTGTTTGTAGGAAGGTTTACCATATCATATATGTTGTACACAGCTATTGGGTTCTCTATACCAGGTTTTACAGCGTGTTTGTTAGGGGAGTAAAGATTGGAGATGATCCAAATACAACCGTTAATGTACAGAGACTTGTAATGAGTCTTAACGGTACACAGAGATTCCAGGTTAACAAATGCTGTGAGCTTTGAAATACCTGATGTGTTTAAAGTAAGCTTTGTCAGAAGGAGTCGTGTGAATACCAAGTCATAATTCTGGTTTGCATGCCTGTATAATAATTTCTTCAAATACATAGCAAATGGGAACTGAGAAGTCACAAAACATATATAATGCTAGTTAGGTGTGGTGTTTCTACCAAAAATATTATAATCTGAAAGGAAGGTTTTGACTGACTGATCATAAGGTCATTATTTCAAGTGACTTCATCAACTATTTTCATGTACATTTTCACATATTAATGAATTTGAACATGCAATCAGAGAATAATTCTCTCTGTCCTACTCTCCACTAATACTCTGCCAAAACTGAAGTCCTGTACTACACCCCACTAACACTACCAAAACTGTAGTCCTGTACTACACCCCACTAACACTACTAATGCTGTAGTCCTGTACTACACCCCACTAACACTACCAAAACTGTAGTCCTGTACTACACCCCACTAACACAACCAAAACTGTAGTCCTGTACTACACCCCACTAACACAACCAAAACTGAAGTCCTGTACTACACCCCACTAACACTACTAATGCTGTAGTCCTGTACTACACCCCACTAACACTACCAAAACTGTAGTCCTGTACTACACCCCACTAACACAACCAAAACTGTAGTCCTGTACTACACCCCACTAACACAACCAAAACTGTAGTCCTGTACTACACCCCACTAACACAACCAAAACTGAAGTCCTGTACTACACCCCACTAACACTACCAAAACTGTAGTCCTGTACTACACCCCACTAACACAACCAACTAATGTACACCCCACTAACACTACTAATGCTGTAGTCCTGTACTACACCCCACTAACACTACAGTCTACCAATACTGTAGTCCTGTACTACACCCCACTAACACAACCAAAACTGTAGTCCTGTACTACACCCCACTAACACTACAGTCTACCAATACTGTAGTCCTGTACTACACCCCACTAACACTACTAATACTGTAGTCCTGTACTACACCCCACTAACACTACAGTCTACCAATACTGTAGTCCTGTACTACACCCCACTAACACTACAGTCTACCAATGCTGTAGTCCTGTACTACACCCCACTAACACTACAGTCTACCAATACTGTAGTCCTGTACTACACCCCACTAACACTACAGTCTACCAATGCTGTAGTCCTGTACTACACCTCACTAACACTACCAATGCTGTAGTCCTGTACTGCACCCCACTAACACTACCAATGCTGTAGTCCTGTACTACACCTCACTAACACCCATCTAATACTACAATTTACTAGCACTGCTATACCACATTAACGATAACATGGGCCCTCTTTACTGTCTATATACACCTGATAGCTAAATGTTGTTTATCATTGGAGACAGGGATATATTCTTTTAGCAGGACAATGTCACAACTGACCCAAAGACTGGCATCTTCTACTTGTTGACTTTAGGAATTTCTCATTCTTTATAGAGCTTAGTCATAATATATATACTGTAGATATAAGATATTACCCTTGTTATTACTGTGATGATCAAACCCAACATATCTCTGTTGTCTTAACAGCTATTTCAATATTACACCTGGTAACCACAGAACACACCTGAGCTCATTTACATATTATATTGATTAAGTGGCAGTTGTTCTGATTGATGATTATCTGTTTGGTTCTGTTCTACTTATACACCTAAGAGACATACAATGTATTGTTGTACTGTATGACATACTTTGTCATAACTTGTCTGTATATACTATCTAAGATAAAGTTAAGGGACAAATATACCTTTATATATACTGGAATATTCCTGTCCTGCTTGTAGTGAACCTAAGTAAAATCAGCATTTAGAAATAATTTCAGAACGTTACTCTCAAAAATTACTCCTAAATGAATACACTACATGAAAAAGTAGTGAGAGAGTATCCTATATTGTATAGTACTAGTCTGAGAGAGTATTCTATATTGTATAGTACTATATAGTCTGAGAGAGTATCCTATATTGTATAGTACTAGTCTGAGAGAGTATTCTATATTGTATAGTACTATATAGTCTGAGAGAGTATCCTACATTGTATGGTACTATAT